GTAAAAGTAAGGTTTCGTTACGAGTACTGGTTCACCATGTTGGCTGTTCATCGAGGATGATCGATGTGTATCAAGAGGGCATTCTAGATAAGCGATCAATGCTGACTGACGTTATGAGGTGGCTTTGGCTTTAGCTTTTCGGTGACAGCGTTTCGAGAGACTATTAACCATAATGCTTGAAACGATTCATCGCAATCTGACAGTCGCTGTGTAGTGGGTTTCGAATGTCAACCGAATCAAATAGCTTAGTGCGGGCTGATGCGTGCATGGACCAGAGAGGAGTCCTCCAGTACGATCGGCAGTCTTGGATGCAACCCCGCCGTTTATGATTTATAAGGGTGTGATCTATTTGCGTCCATCGTTGGCTTGAGAAGGGTGGACATCAAGCGACGTACAGGCAGCCAATCGCTGTAAACTCTGGCGCTGCCTCTCTAAAGAATGTGCCCGATAAGTTCATTTCAATATTACAATTACTAATAGCCGAAGCCGAGATTGTGGCACTTTTTCGCCTGAGTTCACTACAGAAAGTGGTGTTCGTCAGGGTTGCCCTCTCCATCCGTTTCTATTTAACTTTATGGTCGGTGGTGGGTGTCTTCGGTTGTGGCTGGTCACCCCTCCCTTGCACCTCGTGAAATGCTCCCATACGACCTAGAGTCTCAAACAGCTTCTGCCGAGGAATCTCTACTCACTGCCTTCCCGTCGCGGAGGTATTTCCCCATCAAAGTGAAAGGACGAAAAGCCGATATTTGGGGCTACAACCGGGTTGATGGACCACTGACAGTTCACCTAGGGGAATTGGCTAAAAATCCTGATTCCAAACCAACCATGAGGTGCATGATTCACACACACCTTCCCGGTTGTGGCGGCAGTGGTCACCGGTTCGATTGGGCCTCGAGGTGTATTGGGTATTGGGACGTTTGACCCCGTCCGAAGGGCGAATGGTCCGATGAACTGGACACCGGCTCCCAATGGATTGCGGTTTTCGCACACCGCCCCGCTGCCTTGCCGGTCAGGTTTTGGTTAGCCAAAGGTTCCGTGTCGTGTTTTTTACTCGTTCTGTTTCGGTATACCGTTACTCACATCGTTATTTTTATTTTTCAGCCCATGTACAGATAATAATAGACGAGTAAAGCGTATCCTTCCTGTTTGCGCGTTCCCTTTCTAATCTCGAACATACTCGCTCGTTGTCGTTAGTAACAATTTACTCGTCTATTAATCGATGAACCGTCACCTCCGTCCTGAAAAATTCGACACGGATTTGAACGCTCCTGACGATTCAAAACAATGGACCTATTGGATTCGAACGTTCAACGCCTTGTTGAAACGTGTCCAGGCTGAAGATTCAGATAAGCTAGAGATATTGATTAAATTCTTATCGCTGACTGTCTATGAACACGTATCAGATTGTAATACCTTCGACGACGCTATATCTACACTTCAATCTTTGTACGTACGTCATAGGTATTTAATTTTCGTTCGACACCTCCTTGCGACCTGTAAACAAGAATGTGGACAGAAGGTGAATCAGTTCGTCCAAAAGATCAAAACCATTTCGAAGGACTGTGACTTTCGTTCTGTATCTGCCGAAGAACACCGTGATGACGCTATGCTTGACGCTTTTATTACCGGATTACTGTCCAATAACATTCGAACGCGGCTTTTAGCCCAAGTGTCTCTCAACTTTCAAACCGCATACGACATGGCGAGGTCGTTAGAATCTGCTCAACAACAGTCTCGATCATATGGCTCCGAAAATCTGCCTTGTGCCTCATCAGCTTCGACATCGTCGCCTGCACCTCCTGTTTCTACTGTGATGGTTGAATCTGAGCCGGTTCTATCCGCTACGTCCAAAGAAACGTGCTACTTTTGTGGCTACTCGAAGCATCCACGAACGAAGTGTCTTGCCAGAGACGCTACTTGCAAAGCATGTGGGAAAACGGGACATTTTAAACCTGTTTGCCGATCGACATCAACCAATCGGGCTGTTACTTCGGCCATTGGACCCCTTCTATCTTCCGCTTTAACGATCTCTGCTCCCACCTGCTGATCGCGTGATACAACTAAGATTTGTGTCACTGAGTTGCACGCCTTAGTCGACACTGACAGTTCTAATGGTTACAGACAGTTGTCAACTCCCACAGGTTGGAGATTCAACGATGCGACTCCCGAATTACCACGGCATTCACATCCCTGTGGTGTGATGAGGCCGGTTATTGTACCGCAACAATCCGTTACCGTGGAGCTCAATACAATAACGGTAAACTTTCTGTAATGTGTAACCTGTGCGCTGACGTCCTTCTTGGTCACGACTTTCTCGGTCTATACGAAAAGGTGAAAATACCATTCGGTGGTGATTGTGGTACTTTCATGTTGTGCGAACTTGCCGGTGCTAAAATTCAGTCACCACTGTTGTTTGTGCACCTCACTCCAAATTGTAAACCCATCGTTACCAAGTCTCGAAGACATTCTACAGAGCACGAGCGTTTTATCCAAGCAGAAATACAGCGCTTCAAGGCGGACGGCATCACTGAGTCATCTAATCCCCCCTGGAGAGTTCAAGTCCTTGTGACCAGAAATTCTAATCATAAGAAGAGGATGGTCATGGATTACAGTTAGACAATCAACCGCTTCACCCAGCTAGATGCCTATCCGCTACCCAGAATGGACAAAATGGATGAACGAATCTCCCGCTACGCTGTATACGGTACACTGAATCTAAAAAGTGCATATCATCAGATTCCAATCGCACATCATGAGAGACCATATACCGCCTTTGAAGCAGGCGGCCGACTATACCAGTTCTGCCGAATATCCTTCGGCGTTACCAATGGCGTTGCGTGTTTCCAACGCATCATTGATGAAGTTCTAGCGACCGAAGGCCTACGTCGCCTACGTCAACAACGTCACCGTGTGTGGTATGACTATGGAAGACTACGACCGCAATCTCAAACGATTTCTGGAGACCACCGCTAAGTACGGCATAACATTGAACACTGATAAAACGGTCACGTCCGCTAAAGTAATCGATCTTCTGGGTCACCGGATACCCCAGAGTGTAATCAAACCGGACCCCAACCGAATGAAACCGTTATGCAATATGCCAACTCCGACGGATGCAAAATCCCTTCGACGAGTCATCGGTATGTTTGTCTACTATTCGCAGTGGATATCCCACTTTTAAGACAAAATTCATCCTCTAATTAAAAATAAAACATTTACATTACTGACAACCGTTAAACACATTCGAAAACCTGAAGTCCGATCTGGAGAACGCTATGATTGTTGCCGTAGACTACAGTCTTCCACTGGTTGTTGAGACGGACGCATCGGATATCGCAATAGCCAAATCACTTAGTCAGAATAACGAACCGGTAGCTTTTTCTCACGCACTCTGACTCCTAGCGAAAAACAGCAATCTGCAGCAGAGAAGGAGGCGTGTGCGATCGCGGAAGCCCTACGCAAATGGAGGCATTATCTTCTTGGAACCCACTTCAAACTCATCACCGATCGACACTCCGTAGCCTTCATGTATGACCGACGACAGACAACTAAAATCGAAAGCAATAAAATACAGAGGTGGCGACTCGAATTGTCTGCCTTTCACAACGATATAATCTACAGACCCGGAAAAGATAATCAAATCGCCGATACGCTGTCCCGCAATACTTGTGTTTCCAATTTTAACAACACAAAACTACGAGACCTGCACAATTCATTGTCATTCTGTCCGGAATAACGCGAATGGTGCATTTTGTACGCACACGCAATCTCCCGTATTCAGTTGAAGAAATCAAGAGAATAATCGCAAAGTGCACCATCTGCGCCGAGATAAAACCCCGCTTTTTCAAGCCACCTCCCTGCAATCTAATCAAAGCTACACAGCCATTTGAGAGACTAATCATCGATTTTAAAGGACCCTTATTTTCAACCTCTCAGAACCGGTATATTTTGTGTATCATTGATGAATATTTTCGATCTCTATTTGCTTTTGCATGTCTGGACATGCTTTCATCTACTATCATCAACTGTCTTTGTCAATTATTTGCTATTTTTGGCATGCCTGCTTATGAACACTCGGATCGCGGTCCATCTTTTATGTCCACAGAGCTCGTTCGGTTTCTGCGTAATAAAGGTGTAGCAACTAGTCACACAACTGCTTACAACCCGCAAGCTAACGGTCAAGAGGAGCGCTTAAACGATACGCTATGGAAAGCTATATCTCTAGCACTGAGGACTAGAGGTCTGCCTACCTCTCAATGGGAAACAGTCCTCCCAGATGAGTTACACTCTATTCGCTCACTGCTTTGCGTCGCCACCAACAATACACCTCACGAACGATTGTTTCCTTTCCCCCGGCGTTCGGTCAACCGCTCCTCCATACCGACGTGGTTGACAACTCCATGCTCGGTGCTGCTCAAACGAATGCATCGCACTTCGAAGTACGACAACTTAGTAGACGAAGATGATCTCATTAGCTGTAATCCACATTATGCTCTCGTGAAAATGCCCGACGGCAGGGAAGAAAACGTTTCCATTCGACGCTTGGCCCCACCAGGTGATCTACTCGTCTCGAGACCAGAAACTTGCGATCTGCCAGACAGTGAAACACACACAGTTAGAAACTTCTCCAAGATCGAAAGACAATCCACTTAATCGTGAAATTTTTTACACTTNTTTGACAATGCATTAGAGATCTTACGACAACAACAAAGAACAAGACCTTACAATCTAAGAAACAGAGAAGCTTAGTTACCTTCTGCTATTTCCCTTTTTCTTCCAAACAAATCAATAATCTTTAGCGAAATTGTAAAGCGAACTTTCTTTCCTCTCTGCCGGGGCGAATGTCGTGCTTGTCATTCGTTCTGTTTCCGTATGCCGTTACTCACATCGTTATTTTTATTTTTCAGCCCATGTACAGATACTAATAGATGAGTAAAGCGTATCCTTCCTGTTTGCACGTTCTCCCTCTAATCTCGACCGTACTCGCTTGTTGTCGTCCGTAACACTCCGATTGTGGATTCTCCAAGAAAATTCACCTGCTTTGGCCTGGGCAACCTAGCAGTATTCGACCCACTTGCAAATCGTGGAGCGTTTTTCTTTTTATAAAGATTATTGTAGCACGGTTTGTTTGGCACACAGTCTGGCATCAGACGTGTGTGAAATATATTTATACTTTTCCATGGACCGATACTCCAGCTCATAACCAAAACGACAGAACAAAAAGAAACGAGCACCCGTAATATAGGACACGATCCTTAANTACTTTAAGACTAGTAGGTAAATTTCCCCTCCTAAGAAGGAAATTTTTGAAGTAGATATTACCTGTTGGGAAAAGATAATTTGCGCTTAGAAAGTGCTCCGTTAATAGCTGGAATAATGAGAAATCGTTTCGGTGTGCGAAAGTGAATTTATAACCAGCTCCGAGCACGGGTTCTATTAAATATATTTAACATCGCGAAAACGGCTGTTGCAAACTCGTGTTATTCTCGTGGTTGTTTGTGATATTTTCGCGAAAAATCCCGTGTGATTTTCTTGATTTGCTGCCAGGGCTTTCAATCCATTCAACCACAATCTAGGAGTACTAAAAAAGCCCACATCCTCCTCAGTTCAGTTCAGTTTGGTGCCCAGGACAGTGACGGCAGTTTGTCAGGTCGTCCAATTTCTTGCGCTGGTGAGCTCCAAGGATCTCCCGGTGCTGAGACAGTAGGATGAAAAGGTTCGTCTTCCGTGGTATACACGTAGAGGGTCGGCTAGGAGAGGACCCAGAGCAGTGCTGTGTTGCACACTGGCCTTTCCGATGGGAGAGCCACACCAAGAACCTTGAAGCCCGTAAGGATGGGGAGGGAGATGGGCTTCAGGCGCTTGACATGTTTACTCTCCTCCGATGAAAAAACTCCTCCATAAGATATCCAAACAAATTGAATTCAGCCACTGAGGTGGCTGCTATGGCTTCAATAGCAGTTTATTCCAGTCATTCACGACTCAAACCGGAAAGGATGTGGCTCTCAGTCGACAATTTACCGTTTGCCAGTTTAAGTGCATGCCCCGGAGTGAGGTGGCTTCACTTAGCTTCAGCAGCCCCTGGGAACCACCTATATTTGTGATCCCTTTGAGGATCTTAAACGCCTCGATGAGGTCGCCTCGCCGCTTCCGTCTCTCCAATGAGAAGAGGTGCAGCACCTCCAATCTCCTCTCATACGAGAGCTCCCATATCCCTCCAAACCACCTTGTGAAGCGCCTTCGAACCTTCTCCAGCGCTTTGGTATCTCTGAACAAGAACGGGATCCACGTCTGA